GTGTAACGTTTCGGTTTATTCAACCATTATCAGGACTGAAAATTATAAAAGCATAGTTCTACTTTAAATATTAATAAAATTTTGATTTTCAGTAGAACTATGTTCTTAGAAATTTTTGTGGGATGATGGTTGAATAAACCGATACGTTACCCAAAAAGCACTGTTATAGTATTTTGACAGTCACCCTATTAAAAAATTATTAAACCTAAATCTACAACAATCTGCTTTATTATTCTTGCTTTCTTTCAATTTCTTGAATTGGTATCAAAATGATTATTTATTACTGTTAATAGTTACATGCCTAGAAACAATTGATTCATTGTTTAAATATTCACGATCTTGTATATAAAATTGACTGCATCGGCAACAACTTTGAAAAGGTATCATTGTGGCATATTGTAGACGTACAAAGATTAAAACAGGGTTCTTATCTTTGAATCGTTATGAACTTGTAACCACTTTGTTCTCATCGTTTAATAAGGAGAATGTTAAAAAATAAAGAATAAAAAAAACATTTAAAAAACAGTTAATGGTCGATCCAAATGGTAATTTATTTTCAATTTTAGTAACTATTCTTTTGTAACCATATTGTAGTATATGACAATTTATAGATAGATATATTATAACGTCTATCGTACGTAAGTTGTAAAAAATGTCAACATTTCTCACACAGCCGGGGGTTCGAGAGCCCCCCTCCACTAAATTCGCGCCAGAATTAAATTGAAAATAGACGCCATTCAAGCCTTAATTAGCGGCTGGTATTTCCGGCTTAATATTTCCGTTCAACAAATAAATAACTAAATAACAGCCGAACGACATTTTTCTTTCGTAAAAATAACTGCTTTCGTCCCTATCATAAATTGAACCGATTTACTGTTTTAGTCATGAAAAATATGCAGTTTTTACGGTTAAATACGAAGGGCATATAATAGCTGTAACAGTTGTCCACGAAAATATATTTTATCAAAACAAAAATGTTAATACTTTTATCTTGATTTTGCCAGGGAAGGAAGAAAAGTTCCACCCTGCTCTACCGTTGCTGCGCCAAAAGTTTCAAATTCAAATTTCAGTTCCGTATGCATGCTTGACTGTATTCCTTTCACACTTAATCTTTAAATTTATTTCTTTTCTGTTAACATAATTTCTGCAGTTATTCCTTGAGAATTAAATTAGTTTTTGTTAAAACGGAAACACATACAATATTTTCCAATTATTATCGATATACATGTTTCATATTCAGTCAATCAACGTCGCACCACACAGATCTTGAAATATGTTTTTCTTAGATGTATAAGAATCTGTAATCTAAGGCTCGGTTCTCACTTTCCGTAAATTGACGGTTAGCAGCCGCCTGTCATACGTCCGTCAAAGTATTATTCCGTTTAAAAAGCATTGAGTGTTTTTACTATCCTTGCAAATTTTCGTTAGCCCACAGATCGTTGTCGTATAATGAGAATACAACTATCTTTCGCTCAATATGAAATATATCGACAATAATGGGAAAATATAAGTTGGTAAAAATGATAAAACAGGACATGTTTGATCAGTTAAATAACAATGTTTAACTATTGCAGTGATCTTTAAATGTTAAACTCACTACTATGAGGACCATTTTCATACTCTTAACGGCCCTAACGACATTTTTCTTAATTATCTTTTTTTATATTTACTGTGAAGGATCGCGGTCCGTGGTGACGCCAGCAATAATAACAATAACAAATACTGAGTGAAATGTACACGGGCAACACCAAATGGCACACATGGAAGGGTCAAGGGTAATGTAATTCATGCTATTCTGCACTTTCGGGCCAAACTTCTTTGATTTAAATAAATTCAATTATAATCTAAAGACGGTAAAAGTGATTTAACAACAATACTTACAATTTCAATGAGTTTTAAAACTCCAGCTTCCGTTTTCATAAATCCTAAATTCAGACAAGTACAACATCTACAACAACAACAGTTTATTCCTTGTCCTTCAGGGTTAACATTCCTCATGGTTATCACTGTTGGCCTGTGGACACTTCTCATTTTATCTTTGAATGACACCCGCGGTTTCAATCTCTCGTAAAACGTTATAACTGGCCACAATTTAACTACAAACTGCTTTAAAGAGAATGGTCTGACTGCAGAACTCAGGCGAAATGTTTAATTAAAATAACTCATCATCGAGGGGGTAACGCACGATCTGTCTGGGAACACGACACTATTTTGGGAATAGGAAGAGAAACTGAAAAGTTTGTTACACATCCGCAACTCGTGGGTTATTTTACGTACGATGAATTTGAACTTTCGTAGCTGCCTTTTTTATTTTTAACCCAGTTTAACAGCAGCAGCATTAGCGTTGTATTTGCTCTAGGTACTATCGTACTATGGTCATTTTATTATGCTATAANTATCTTTATCAATAGGGTAGGTTAGGTTAGGTTAGCTTGGATTGCGCTGGGAATGTTTGAGATTGGATTCAAACGTTCTACAATCATTTTGAGTTTATCTTCTAAAAAGTTTGTAATTTTATTTTAAACGCTTAAAAATTATTTTAGATTAAAAAGTAGCGGTAATAGTGTTTATCCTTACCTGACTCCCTTCCTAATATTTACTTCCATACGTTGCTGCTCAAGCTCTATAGCTGCCTGTTGTTCTTTATGCAAACTTATTATCACTCTTCTATTTCTGTATCTCAGGGTTTAGGTTTTTTTTTATTTAGGGTTGACAAAGGCAATTAATTCTTCCTTGTTTGAGTTATTATTGGTTATTGCAGGGTTATTTTCAATAAAACCGTCGTCTGATCTTTATTTTGTCCTATTTCAATGACGTCCTTTTTGATGGTCATTATTTTGCAATTGTATATATTTATAGAAAAGTTCGAAACACAAGAGGATTCAGTAAATTACAGATCTGTAATGTTCATGGTGCAAAAAGACCGTAATAACTAGGGTTGCCACCTTTTCAGGCTTTACATAAAGTATTTATCGACTAAAAGGTTAAAAAAAAAATACTCGGCATGAAAATAAAGTATTTTATTTTTTGTTACACGTAGCAGCCAGTAACAAATTGCTGTCGCCCTTAAATACATTAATAGCCTCTAAACATGGCAAACAAAGATTTAAGTAAACTAAAAGTTCATTTTTAATTAGTTTTAATGAAGCTTTATTCCTGTCGTCCCGCCACTTTGCGTTCATAACAGAGAATACTCTTTCTGATGTAAATGTTGAAGTGGCCGGAACGGACAGCAAAAGTGACATTACTTTGAACAGATTTGGGAAATCAGGTTGTTCCGTAAATATGACTTGCCATTTTTCTGTGCAATATTATTGATGTAAAAATACTCTGAATTTCGAATAATCGCTTACAAAATTACGATGTTTACTTAAGGCCTTAAATAAAGTATTTTTGCGTACTTTAT